TATAACATTGTAACTCTGCTTAGTTTGATAATTTTTGAACATCAATTATGTGATTAAATTATTTTATTTGTTTAAACAAAACAAAAAACAATTCCATTTTTTGTTACTTCCCGTTGTGACAACCCTAGAAATTTTATCGTTTATGTCGGTTTTCCGGCAACATCAAATGCGATGACTGACTGTATGTTCTTCTTGGGCTGTGGTTATGGGCATAGTACTCAGTGGTTTTTATCGGTATAATTTAAATATTTATTGTATCAGTTATGTAGTAATGTAATAATTTAAATGATTTTATTATTGATAATAATGTCTATTATATTAAGATATTTACTAAATGATTGTGCGTGCAACAGGTAGTTAGTAGTTCAGAACATGAACATTTACAACATGCAGTTCAGACAACAGGACACAACAAAATTAGAGCAAACACCGTTAGTATTTTTCACGTGCCGCTCAATTATTGAGTCATCCGATGCTTTTGCTCCGACGCACCATGCATCATAAAGGTTTTTATTTTCCGCTAATGGCTGTCTCGAAAATGCTTCGCTGCTTCCGCCGGTATTTCTTTAAAAACAAATTCAACCCTTGTTGAACTCGATTGATTTTTCGATATATTTTCGCGGTGCAGTTCCTTGCAGTTTTCAGCAGTAAAATCCGGCTCAAAGGACCAATGTTATATCCAGTTTTAGAATATTGAAATAAAAAGTCTTGTATGATGTGAAAACTGAGAAGAGCGCTTTATTTTTATAACGACAGTTTACGTCAAAAATGACAATTACTTTCTTTTTAAGTACGTTTCTATTACAAACAAGCGTCAAGTAGGCTATACAAATTTACATTTGGTCTAGGTTTCCGAGTGAAAGTAATTATTTTGCATTTATTATAATTTAAAGGCAATAGATTTTCTTGGCTCCAATTCAACACCGCGTCAATGTCTTTGTAGATTTATGGCATCTGATTCAGTATCAATACCCAGACTGAGTTTTAAGTCACCCGCACATAATAACATCGACTATTCAGATAGCATGTGAAAAACTGAATAAGTTTGGGGGTAAAGCCATGCTGGCTATTATGTAACAAATGGCCAACCTGATTATTAATGTGTTTCGTGAGAATAGACTCAAATATCTTAGCAAACACTAATAAAACAGCAATTGGTCTAAATGCTGACACGTTCATACTCCCATCTCCTTTCGGCACGGGGGTAACCCTCGAACGTTTTCAAATTTGAGGATACCTAGCAATAGTTAGTGACAGGTTAAAGAGTTGCAAATGAGGCCCCTCCAGTACCGCTATACAATCTTTAGCCAAGAAACCAGGAATGCCATCAGGCCCACTAGATGAGCGCGGTTTGAGACGTTTCACAGCCTCCTCCCTCGCATTGACCGCGTTTATATATACGGACGCAATGTCCTGGTTAATATGTGCAGCTTTAGCAGTTTCATTAGGATCCAAAAAGGGTATGTTCGGATTAAACACATAGCTGAAAAATTCTGCAAAGGCATCAGCAGCAGCCTGCCCCTCTACCTCGGTATCTTTATATACATAAGTACCCGCACGTCTTCTGCCACCTGGTTTTTTTGTCTTAAACGTAACGTAATCCCAAACTTTAACTGGGTCGTTAATAATATTCCGCTGTACCGATTTAGATATGGCATACACTCCCTGTCAATCAGTTTTTTTACCTGCTCCCTATAATACTTAAACATTTTCCGAGTGAATTCTTTACCTTTCTTTTTATACTTCTTAAGATGATAGTGTTTATTTTTAATATTATTTATAATTTCAGCAGTAGGTAGGTAGTATACCAGTGAAAGTGCGTAAAGAAACGGGTACAGAGAGATTTATACAATCGTACAATTTCTCTCAGGGGGTGCTAAGAATCTCCGGTGGAGGTTCGGTTGTCACCTAAGACGACTCGACCTGGCAACATACAACGCACGCACCCTGAGGACTGACGAGAAGATCGTGGAGCTGGAAGAAGAGATAGACAAGTTACGCTGGCATATTATGGGATTTTCCGAAGTCCGAAGAGAGGGGGAGAACACGGTGATCCTCGAATCCGGCAACTTGTTCTATCACCGGGAGGGCGACCATCTGTCCCAAGGAGGTGTCGGATTTATCGTCCACAAGTATCGTTAACAACGTTGTAAAGATTGAGACAGTGTCGACGAGGCGTACCTTATACTCAGAATCACCAAACGGTATTCGCTGAAGGTCATACAGGTTTACGCACCAACCTCGGCACACTCCGATGAGGAGGTGGAGGAAATATATGAGGATATCTCTAGAGCCATGCATTCCTCCAAAACCCATTATACGGTGTTAATGGGAGACTTCAATGCAAAACTAGGCACAAGAGACAACGGTGAGCTGAAAGTAGGGAAATTTGGTATAGGGCAACGGAACCCAAGGAGTCAGCAGCTGGCCGACTTCATGGAGAAAGAGGGACTATTTATGATGAACTCTTTCTTCCAGAAGCGGCCTCACAGGAAGTGGACCTGGTCGAGCCCTAACGGTTCCACAAAAAATGAGATTGGCTTCATTATGACGACCAGGCAACAACTGTTCAGTGATGTCTCCGTGATCGCGAGGGTGAAAAATGGTAGTGATCACCGAATGGTTAGAGGTACACTGAAACTAAACCTTAAGTTGGAGAGGTCTCGTCTAATGAAGTCAACGCTCCGTTCCCCTCGTGATCTGTTCCAAAGTCCCGAAACCTTTCAGCTCGAGTTACAAAACCGTTTTCAGTGCCTAGAAGACTGCAATGAATTGGACGATATGAATGACAAGCTCGTGGAAACTGTCCATGCGGTCGGAGCTAAGTTCTGCAAGACCCGCCGCAGAAGAACACAAAAACTCTCCGATCACACTCTCAATCTCATGGCTGTTAGACGGGAGATGAAGCTACATTCTTAAACAGATTTGACAGTATACAGGCAACTGAGTAGACAGATCTCCAAATGCATGCGGCGGGACTTACGCAACTTCAGTACAGCTTGTATTGAAGAAGCAATCGAGCGGAACCAAGGCTCTAAAGTCTTTGCCAGAGATCTGTCTGCCAGAAAGAGCCAACTGTCGAAGCTGAAGACCGATTGTGGCAGCATCGTTTCCGGGGCACCTGAGATTTTGAGTGAGATTGAGAGGTTCTATGGGCAGCTGTACACGTCATCGTTGGAGCCACACGCAAGTGTGAGTAACGATACAAGAGCGAATCTTATCTGACACTATTCCGAAGATATCCCGGACGTCAGTCTGAGCGAGATTAGAATGGCTCTCCAGCATCTTAAAAACGGCAAGGCCCCAGGCGAGGATGGAATTACAGTGGAGCTTTTGAAAGTGGGTGAAAGACCGGTACTTGAAGTCCTTCAGAAGCTCTTTAATTCCGTCCTCCATGGTGGCATTACACCGGAGGCGTGGAGCAGAAGTGCGGTGGTCTTGTTCTTCAAGAAAGGTGACAACGCTCTCTTAAAGAACTACAGACCGATTTCCCTTCTGAGCCGCGTCTACGTGCTGTTTTCGAGAGTCATTACGAATCGTCTCGCGCGCAGACTTGACGACTTCCAGCCTCCCGAACAAGCCGGTTTCCGAAAGGGCTTTAGCACCATAGACCACATATGCCATTGCCACTATGTCTGGCGTATGTGGACTATGAGAAAGCCTTTGATTCCGTCGAAATTTGAGCGGTGCTGCAGTCCTTTCAGCGATGCCAAGTTGACTATCGGTATATCGAAGTGCTGAAGTGCTTGTACAGTAGAGCTACGATGGCTATCCGAGTACAGAACCAGAGTACGAAACCTATCCAATTGCAGAGTAAGTGTAAGGTGTAAGACAGGGTGACGTTATATCCCCGGAACTCTTCGTAGGATACGGTATTAACATCAATGGCGAGTACATCACTCACCTTCGATTTGCCGACGATATAGTCCTTATGGCAGAATCGCGGGACGACCTAAGCACCATGCTCAATGACCTCAATAGTGTCTCCCAACGAATAGGTCTTAGGATGAACATGGACAAAACAAAGATCATGTTTAATGTCCATGTCACACCTATTCCAGTAGTTGTTGGGTTCACGACACATCTTCTCGTTAAACATACCTCAAAACCTTAAAACGAAATTGTACAACCAGTGCGTGTTGCCAGTGATGACTTACGGATCTGAAACGTGGTCCTTTACTGCTGGTCGTATGAGGAAGCTCAAGGTCGCTCAGCCAGCTATGGAGAGGGCTATGCTCGGGGTTTCTCTGCGTGATAAACTTAGAAATGAGTATATCCGTAGTAGAACCAGAGTAACCGACATAGCCCAACGGATTAGTAAGCTGAAGTGGCAGTGGGCCGGCCATATAGCTCGAAGAACCGACAACCGATGGGGAAGAAAGGTTCTTGAGTGGCAGCCTCGTACCGGTAGGCGAAGTGTAGGGCGACCCCCCACGAGATGGAGTGACGACCTAGTAAGACATGCAGGAAGTCGATGGATGCAAGTGGCTCAGGACCGTACTTTGTGGCATTATTTGGGGGAGGCCTATGTTCAGCAGTGGACTTATGAAAGGCTGTAATGATGATGACATAGATTTAGAATGTACAAGATTAACGATGACAGGTTGAGAACGATACCAAAATAAATTTGCTGTTGTGTAAGTAGTCATCAATGTGAGAGTTAAAAATAGGGCTTGCGACGTGATTATATTATATTTATCGATACTCCACGGAATTAAAAATCGATAGTCAATTAATTGTGGTCTTGCAAGTATAATAATGTCAATTATGTTTTTTCGCATTCTAAGCGAAATATCCGCTATAAAATGAGTTTATTTCATTAGCCAAAAACGATAAATTTTAAATCTTTTTCATGTAGTCTTTTGCGAAAACAATTTGTAAAAATTTACAGAGACGAGCTTAGGGCCATAGATCCATGCTGATGAAGTGTCATGCAGTCAAAAGATAGTAAAAAATAAATAAAACACAGTTTTTGCACATTATTTATTATAAATACGTATTTATTCGCCCCTGAAAATAATAGTCTTATTTAATTGAGTGCGTAAAGTTTTCTTATCAAACTTTTATAATTTGCATTCATACTTCAGTCTTAAGTCAAAATAAAGTTCGATTATACTTTTCATAAGAAAATATATATGATTATCCAACGGGTCTTGATCAAAAGCATGACATTTTAAATCATTAAACAAGTGTTGGTTATTATGTATAACGTTCAATACGTTTTTGGCGAAAATGGTTTCGTCCATTCTTTTCCTCTTCATATTTTCTCTAAAATAACGTTCAGCACTACAACATAACTTGATAACATCATTAGATGGGTATGTGAGATAGCCGTCATTTTTTTTCGAATAATCTCTTTTGATAATTAATGAGTTATGAAAAATTTTCGATGAACTTGACATACAACTTTGTACACAGACATCGCACTTGATTTTTTTATTTATTCTTTTCATAATGTTACCCGAAATATAAGCAACGATCATCATAGATATCTGGGACAAAGAAGTAGTATTATCTACAAGAACATCTACGTCGTCTAAATCATTTTCTTCATTTTCTGCGGAAAAATTACTATGTAACAATTCGTTGAAAATTGTGTTATAGTTCGATGAAGTATTAATTTTATCTATAGACGACATGGTGCTAGTAGAAAATACTGCAATTTTTTCCAATTCCAAGCAATTAGCACTTTCACTTATTTTTATTTCAGTGTGGCAGATCAACCTTTTGTAAGCTGGTATAAAATTTTTCACGCTAGGATTGTTATTAAAACCTCCTTTTGACCGAATTGCGCTAAAAAACATTTCTAAATGGTCCTGTGACAATTTGTACGTTGGAAGAAATTTAAGATTATCTTGCTTCTCTACGTAATTAACATAGATCCATTTTAGTGCAATTATGTTATTTACAAATCCTAAGAACCCTAACCGTTTCGGGGTACTTATCAAAAATCTACCGTCTTCACATCTGAGATTTTGAAAATACTCATATAATTCATCAAGATTCTGAAAAATGTCTGCTTTGTTACTCGGACAAAGCGGCTTTTTGAGACCTAAGTTATTTAAATTCCTCGAGTTAAATATGTCAAAAATGTTGTTGACATTATGAAGAAACTGTACCGTTGCGGATGAATTCTCAAATTCAGAAATGTGAAGATCATTTTCACACACATCTATAGCAATAGCTACTGACCTACTTAACAATTGTGCAGCTAGACGGACTTTCATTTTTTGGGTCCTGAAATTAATATGTCGTGCAGATAATTTATTTGCAAGATGTAAGCCTTCATTTTTTTGTAAAATGTGTAGCTGTTGTACAAACTTAAATTCAATTTTGCGGCCAATATTATCATAAAATACTTTGTGATCCCCAAAATAATTTCTAATCAACTTAATTAGATGGCATGGATCAAACAACATAATATATTTTCTGTTAAAATATGGTTTATAAGGTGGCGTCGTAACAGATGCGCCAAGATATTGCATCATATTTAAATTAGATGCAATTCCGTCAAAAGTTATTGCAATAACATTACAATTTGCATCTTTTAATAAATCTAGGCTTATTTTTAATAATCTAGCTTTTTCTGAAGCTGTAAAACTTTTAGCAGGAAGGAAACCAATAGGTAATTTCCAATACCCATTAACAGCAACAACCATAAACACAAGTATTTCTTTTGCGATTTCTACTTCGTCGCCACATAAATCATTCCCTACGTTAACGTAGCCATAATGTTTTTTGCCTATTATTTCGGCCTCTTCTCTTATTTTAATTTTCCCAAACAACTATCTTTCAGCTTCTGTAAACAGCTGTCGACATACAGTATGAACAGCCAGGAAGACATGACACAACCCTGTTTTACGCCCGTTTGGACGCTAAACATGGGTGACAGGTCATGCCCTACCCGCACACAGGCCTTACAGTCACAGTAAAGAGACTGCACAGCCCTTAGCAATCGACCATCCACACAATACCCCGGCAACAGTTCCCACATTTTCTTCCTTACAACCTTATCAAATGCTTTCTCAAGATCTACAAAAGCACAGAAAATCTTCTGATTAGCAGCCAGAAGCTTTTCCGTGATTATGCGGAGAGAAAACATTTGATCCGTGCATCCTCTTCCAGGTCTAAATCCGCATTGTGCCTCCCATAGAAATCTTTCCGATTTCTCTTGCATCCTACGTGTCAAAACCTTCGAGTAAACTTTACTTGCTAAACTGGTCAAGCTGAACGCCCGATAGCACCCGCAGTCAAAATGTGAACCTTTACCTTTATATAAAGGCACAATGACTGCAGATCGCCAATCATCCGGTACATCCTCCGTCCGCCAGCACAAATTGCACAGCAGATGAAAGCTGTCCCAGACGCGAGGCCCACCATACTTGACCATTTCAGCAGTAACTCTGTCTAGTCCCGCAGCCTTACCACATTTCAAACTTCGAATCGTACGTTCAATCTCTTTCACACTGATGACCTCAGTGTCATCGAGATCCGGGTCTGGCGTACCAGTCACGGCGTCATCCCCGGATCCCTCACTAAGATCATCACACGCATACATTTCTCTATAAAATTCGCTCCATCGCTGCACGACGTCCGATTTTTCTGAGAGGACGTCATTAATTCTCGAAAGCACTTTGTTCATTCTTAAGGCCGACGCAACACTTCGGGTCCTTACAACCTCTTTCCAGAAGAGTTTGGAGTTCTCCATAAAGTTGTGCGACAACCTTTCGTCCGCTTCCATTCTACACCTTTCACGCACTTCCTCAATCAATGTTTTCGTGTGAACTTTCTGCAGCCTATATCTTTCTTTCATCTTCTCTCTCATATCCTTATCATTACTAGAGGCCAAGTAGTCTAACCATGCTTTCTTCTTCTTCTTTACAGCTTCTTTCACTTCATCATTCCACCATGCATCTCTTCTTTTACTACTGCCTCTTTTTATTGTTCCACACACTTCTTCCACTGCACTTACCATTCCATCCCTAAGGTTCTGCCAAGTTCTTTCTACACATTCTTTTCTGCCATCGATGGTGTCAAGCTTTTCGGCTACCCTCGCATGATATTTGTCCCTAGTATCCGCTTCCTGAAGCTTCCAGCTTCGGATGCGACAGACCGATTGTGGTTCTGTTACTGCCGTCCGGTAGCGCCAACCCGCGAACAGACCCCTAAATCTAGTAATCACTAGATAGTGATCCGTTCCCAGGTCAGCACCCCTGAACACTCGCGTATCCATCACCTGTTTTCGCAGTCGGTCATCCACCAGGAACAAATCGATCATACTTCTCTCATTCTTTCGTTCTCTAGTATACATATGAATTTTCTTGTGATTAAACATAGTGTTTGTCACAAGAAGACCCTTTTCCTTGCATACCGCCAGTATAAGCTTGCCAGCATCATTAACCCTTTTATCGCCAAACTTTCCAAGTACCGACTCGGACCCTGGTCGAGTGGTACCAACCCATCCATTCAAATCACCACATACAACAATTCTTTCGTTTCCCCTAGCCAAATCTAGAACTTCTCTTACATTATCCCAAAACTCCTCCAGCTCAGCCCTTGACGACGAAGCTACCGGCGCATAAACAGCCAAAAGGAATAACTTCGTCAGTCCCAATTTAAAGCAAACCCAGAGAAGTCTTGAGTTCACAACCTTATATTCAGTCATAACATCGACCAACCGAGAAGACAGTAGTACTCCCACTCCCTGGCAGGCGTTCTCGCTCTCCGGGACTCCGGACCATAGAGCTAACGCCCCGCCAGGGAGCTCTTCAGTACCACTGCCCTTCCGTTTGGTCTCCGACATACACACGACATCTAATTCTCTTTCTTTCATTATTTCGATCAACTCATTCGTCTTATCTCTCATGCCAACTCTAACATTCCACGTGCCAACTCTGCACTCTGTCCTCCACCTTCCGCCGTGTCGGGCTGTGCGTGACGGGTGGCGGTCCCCATCGCCGCTTTGCGCGCTGCATTCCACACCAACGGGGACGAGCTGGTGTGCGTCGCCTTGGGGGGACGCCCTAACCCTCGTTGGCATGGGTGCCCAGCTGAGTAGAATTGCAGCCCTGAAAAGGGCTGGCAGGGGTCGCGACGAGCACGCTTCTACAATGACCCCCTTTTATTAATTTCTTTAAGAATTAATAGATATTCTTTAATAGACATTCAGGTAGTTTTTTTACGAATACTGTTTGCTAGCAACGTTGCTTGCATCCAAGAGGCAACGTCGCACATGCGGCGGCTCAAGGCCAAGCCAAAGGTATATTATGACGTCGACACAGATGTCATCGTCATCAAAGGCGACGCCTGCCCTTTTCGGTTTGCAGACATCGATTTGGTGATCGATGTTTGCAGCACGTGCCAATTAAATGAGTATTATTAACTATTTTTTATTTAACGTAAGTTGTATTTAAAAAATGGATGCAGGTTAAAATAATTACAAATATTAAAATAATTTTTTTTAATGATTAAATACAAATTAACAGTAATTAAATAAAGATATTAAGATATAATGGTTCAATAAAAATATTAAAATACAAATTTAAAAATTAGACTTACCTAGGTACTTGTCCGCGGATGGCACATTCTATGCATAGGTGACACCTAAAACTTAACTGTTCACCGACACGAGATAATACTTGATGATTCATTTTGATTTAATCGAATGCCCAAATTATTTTTTCTTTCAACATGTCGCGGGTTTCGAATGCGCAACCAGTATACACTAATGTCTTTACATGCCCCCACAAATAAAAATCCATTGGTGTGATATCTGGCGATCTAGGAGGCCATGCACAAGGCCCGTCACGACCGACCCAGCGACCAGGGTGTTCTCAGTTTAAATAATCCTTAACTTGGCGAGCATAGTGCGCCGGCGCCCCATCATGTTGGTATTACATATTGCGTAGAGATGCAAGTGGTATGTCCTCTAACAACTCTGGCAGCGTATCGGTGAGAAAACTATGATAGCTTTCACCGTTTAATCTTTCTATGAAGACCGGGCCCAGTAACGTTGTATTAATAACGCCTGCCCACACATTGACACTAAACCGGTGTTGAAAGCTATGCGGTCTTGGTTCAAGTGGATTTTCATAGCACCACAAGTATTCATTGTGCGAATTAAATAGTTCTATTCTGCTTAATGTTGCTTCATCAGTCCATAAAATGTCAGCTCGTTAAGCAGCTAGTAACCAGTTACAAAATGTATAATGCGCTGGTTTGTCAGCTTCGCTGAGTTCATGAACACGATGCAAGTGGAAAGGGTAGTTCCCTTCATTGTGTATGACACTCCATGCGTAGTACTGTGACACATTGAACTGTCGGGCTGCCTCATAAATGCTCGCTGCTGGATTTTGTTCAAAAAACTGCAGTATGTCTTCCTGCTCACGTATTATGCGCCGCGGTGGACGATCACGATCGATTGATACAGGCTAGAATTGCCCGTAATCTCGCAATCGCTATGTAGTACCTAGCATCGTAGCGTAGCTCGGTGCACGTGAGTTGGGAAATCGCCTTGAATATTCACGGTAGGCTTCATTAACGTTATTATTGCAAATTGCTAAAATTCGTACCATTTAGGTATACCCAACATTTGAGTATCGGTAAGCTATCGTAACAACGCGTAACGTTCGCGATATTAATCTCACAACGGAAGGAGAAACGTCGCGGGCGCACCAAAGGCGACTGACGACACAGGTAATTAGGTCAAGTTCAAATGAGCAAGCGCCGCCTCCTACACCCCTCCACCCCTACCCCGCCACGCGCTTTATTTTGCTATTTAGGACTATTGCCGTTTAGAAGGTCCAATTAAAATATTTTTATTTTTATATGAAAATAAAAATTGAAGAAATATAATTTTTTTCTTACAGTTGTTGTTGTTATGATGTAAATAATATATTCCCAAAAGGTCTTCAATAAATTAAAAATTACCCTGTATATATGAACTTATATGTGAAATGTAATACCATCACTTTTTATGTTTATCATCACTGTTGAGATAATATTTTACAACACAAATGGTTATTTTTACAATTTTTCGCGAGCCCTTCTCCGTAAGACGTGATGTTGCGCAGTGCGCACTGACTATATTACTCTACTCTATGGTACAAGTATTCTATACGTAATAATTCCATGATTTAAATATTTTTGAGTTTGACTAGCAAGATTTTTTGTTTAGACTTTTTAATTAATTAGACGAGAACTGTTTTAATTTTCAAAATATCGCGAATATTCAGTGAGGTATTGACTAATTTTGACAAAAAAGAAAATGGTTCTGGAGTTGCAGTGTGTAAATACTGTAGTCAAAATATAATATATAAATCTACAACGGGTAATCTAGAAGCTCATTAAAACGATCTCACGCTTCAATTTATAAAAGACAAGTACCGATTTAGGATATAAAAAAATATATTAAGAAAACATTGTAAATATGCCGATTTTAAAATGCGCTGGATAAGTTTTAATTTCATACAAAACTTTTCTGCTAGTTCTAAGCCTAGATTGAAGCATAAAGGATAATCGCGCAAATCTGTATTACATTTGCGTTTGTCGTTTCGTTAACTTATATAACGAAATCTAAATATGCAATCGAATTGGCGTGGCTAAGGGCTACTGAAATCGAATTTTTAAAAACGGATTTTGAAATCGATTTTAAAATCTAAAATCGGATAAATATCCGTTTGCGTTCAAATCCAAAATCGCCCATGGCTAGTTCAAGGCTATTGACGCCGCGTCGTCCGGACGTTTGAGTGGCTATGCCGGTATATATTATAGTTGTTTATATATT